CTCCTCCATTTGTTCACAGCAAATGAAGGCATGTTATCAAAATTACAAATTGTACAAAATAAAGCTATGAGGATCATTTTAAATAAAAACATATGCTAGTACTGTCTATGTTAGAAGAACGATAGTAGCTGAATGTACACAATTTCATGTTATTTAGTTCTCATTTTGTTATTCAAATTAAAAAATCATTCATTACTACCACATTTAGAGAGCTTCACAGAATTAAATAGTCATCATCATAATTATCTAATAATCAGTATTAGAGTATGGCGCATCCGAACATTGAAACTATTAATCATACAAAAAAATGCTGAATACATATAAGTATAAGAATGAATAACGTGAAGTATAAAAACTATTAAGCATCAAATACCTGGGTTTTATTATCTATGAGAATTTGAAATGGTCCACTCACATTAAACATTTTTTAGGTAAAACAAGACTGCTAAGTACAAAAGTAAAATAAATATTTATAATGCATTTTTCTTGGTACAATTTAGATATGTTACCTGGCGGCTGACGGTGCTGCCTGCTGCCGGTGGGGCGCAGCCAGCGTTCAGCGCATTGGTCCAGCGTCATCCCCGCCCTTCGCCGTCTATTCCTTTACCACGCGCACGAAGGCAGTGCCGGATGCTCTGCTATTCGATTTTTGTCCGCAGGCGCACATGACATTACGCTGAGAGTGGTTCTCATTTGGGTTGATATAGATAACGTGCATATTTTCACCTATAGTGCCAGCGTTCAGCGCATTGGTCCAGCGTCATCCCTACCCTTCGCTGTCTATTCCTTTGCTACGCGCAAGAAGGCAGTGCCGGATGCTCTGCTATTCGATTTTCGACCACTGTAGGTGAAAATATGCACGTTTTCTATATCAACCCAAATGAGAACCACTCTCAGCGTAATGTCATGTGCGCCGGCGGACGAAAATCGAATAGCAGAGCATCCGGCACTGCCTTCTTGCGCGTAGCAAAGGAATAGACAGCGAAGGGCGGGGATGACGCTGGACCAATGCACTGAACACTGGCTGCGCCCCACCGGCAGCAGGCAGGCAGCACCGCCAGGCGCCAGGTAACATATCTAAATTGTACCAAGAAAAATGCATTATAAGTATTTATTTTACTTTTTGTAGTTAGCAGTCTTGTTGAACATGCAGCAATTCCAGAAAACTGGGTGGCTCATCACTTAATTCTATTTTTGTGGGCAGTACTTGATGCTAGGTCTTATCTAGGCCTTGTACCGAGTGGGGAGGTCATGTGGAAAAAAGTACTAAGCTAAGCAAATATCTTAGCTTTTTACCAGCTACGCTATTGTCAAGTTGTGTTCGTGTCAGATCAAGTCCTCGGTGATCTGGACTCCAATCAGCCGAAATAAACGGCTCTTTGGTAAAACCCTGCCGTCGACCGAAACCGGAAGAGCGCTAGCATGCTTCTTGTTCGTCAAGATACAGTACTGTGTTTTCGAAGCATTAAACTGTATCAGATTGTTGCATCCCCAAGAAGAGATAACCTTTAGATCTCTCATCAGAGAGGAAGTCGCTGCTAGTCTTCTTTTCTTCAGATCACCTGCAGAGATCGGCTTGTCACTCTGAACTTCTGGATACAGAGCTGTGGGTTAGTTGACCGCACAGGAAAGGAGGTCGTTGGTCTATGAGAGAGACAATTTCAGGCGCAGTACCGATCCCTGCGGAACACCCGCGGTGACATTATGTGATGAAGAGAAAAATTTGTCAAACACGACGGATATCTTCCGACCAGAGACGAAGTCAGATTCAATTCAGTCTTTAATTGCTCGATATATCCTTGGATAGCCTTATATCTCTTTAGTAAAATTGAAAATCACCCTGGAATCTCCTTGAACTTCAGACGGCATACTGGGATAAAGAATCTCCGCGACCATTGCTCCATTGCAATTAAAACACCATCTAATAAAATAAGTCATTTCACAGAACGCTCGTTATTTAACCCTTTACCCAGGTAACAAGAAAGATGTTCGATTCGGATGCAGCAACCCTACGGGAGCTATTGAACCGCTCTAATCAATATATCCAGCCTCACAATGTGACACGTGTGCCTGGCCTACTATCTGCCAAATAATCACTTATTAAAGTGAGTGCTTACCTGGAGGGTGCAAACGGGTGGATAATTACATTTATAGTTGATCACGCTGCCGCACCTCAAAGGGAGCACACAGTGAGACCAGTCGCCAACGTCATCCGCACTGTTAACATTGTCAATGAAAGTTAGATCGTTACAACAAACTGGAGCCTAAATTCTAGGAAGTCGATGTTTTTTCAATAAAAAGTGATGACAGCAATGAAGCGCCAGATCATTACATAATTGAGCGTTGTAACTAAATGATTTGTAGACAATAATATGATAATAATAATATGTAGGGTGGCGCATCGAAAACGAAACAGATGCATTTACTTTTTGAAAAACGCTCAGACCAGTCGATTTCGTTTTCGAAGGGGACACAAGTTTGGCAAAAAATCACGTTAGCACGTGCACCCTCCTAAGCGGGGGTGACACCACCCCCAAAATCTTAAATGGAAAGGGGGGTCGAGTGATACCTCATTTTAAAGATCTTTCAATTCCCTTTATAATGATATAAAATTAATGTACTTCAGTTCAGTAGTTTTGAAGGTTTATTGATGTAAAGCTTAAATAAAACTAATACATCATCATCAGTGGCGATCAATACATTTGGCAGCAAAGTAATTTAACAATGAAGACCGTTAGGCAAGTAAATGTTGAAAATGGCCACCATGACTCTCCATGCAATAATAAAGATTTTGCTCAAAACGTTGCCGCACATTTTGCAAAATTTTAGTAGTAATTTGAAGGCACCCATTCACAATTTTTTGTCGCAGGTCTTCTAATGATGTTGGCTGAGTAGCATAGATTTTGCTTTTTAAATGACCCCACATAAAGAAATCCAAAGGTGATAAATATGGCGATCTTGGGGACCATTCAATGGCACCTCTCCTACCAATCCATCGATCTGGAAACGTCTGATCTAAATAATGTCGAACACGTAATGCGTAACGTGGTGGGGCACCATCCTGTTGGAACATCGACCTATTCGCAATGTACCGCCGATCATTCTGATTTTCAATTATGGCTGTTAATGCAGGATCTATGGCGTCTTCCAGTAATTCCAAATACATTTCACCGGTCAAATTTCCAGGTAAGAAAAAAGGACCAACTAAATGATCGCCAAAAATACTGGGATTAGAATCGGACCAATATCTGCAGTTATGACGAGTTACTACGCCATTTAAGAGAAAGGAAAATTCGTCGGAAAAGCAAGTGTTAAATAGAAAATGTTCATTTATAATTCGTTCACTCATATCTTCACAAAATTGTAATTGCCGATCAAAACCCTCTTCATTAAGTTCTATTAAGTTCTTGTACCAGGTGAATTTTATACGGATGAAAACTATGGGCCTTTGAAAATCCGTTGGACAGTACGTCGACTAACACCACACACAGTCTCCAATTTGCAAGTACTTAACGTAGGATCTACATAAACTTGCCCTATTGCTTCGTTCCTTATGGGATTTTCAATGTTGCGTTTTTTCTTGGCGATTGATCCAGTTTCCCGAAATTTAACTACAAGTTCTAGAACATATTTTCGATGCACGTTACTGTTCTCATGTCGCTCATTAAATATTTCTGCTGTTCTACTAACGCACTAATTATTTCCGAAAAATATCTCAATAATGTCAATTCTTTCTGCTGTGGAATATACCATGCTTAATTTACCTGTATGTAATAAAGCGTTACAAGTTATTTTAGCAACAAAATCTGATCAAATCAATCGCAAACTATGTACTAAATTCCTATTTAAAATAAGTACGAGATATTCCCTTATCTTTCTTCAAGAAATAACTTTTTTTGCCACAAAAAACGCTCCAATAGCTATTTTCAACAACAAAATGATAAAAAAAACCGCGGGCGTGGTGAAGAAAAGCATTTACTTATTAAATAAATTCTTTTAGTCAAATTTCTTCTGATAGTAGTACAAACTAATCTGATGTACCTATTAAAGTCTACTTCAAGCTTTAAATCAATAAATCTTCAAAACTGCTGAACTGAAGCTCATGTATTTTACATCATTATAAAGGGAATTAAAGGAATTAAAAGACCTTTAAAATAAGGTATCACTCGACCCCCTTTCCATTTAAGATTTTGGGGTTGGTATCACCCCCGCCCAGGGGGCTGCACGCGTTAACGTGATTTTTTGCCAAACTTGTGTTCCCCTCGAAAACAAAATCGACGGGTCTGAGCGCTTTTCCAAAAAAACACAGAGCTGAAAGTAAATGCGTCTGTTTCGTTTTCGATGCGCCACCCTGTATATAGTGTGAGTATTCAATTATTTAAGAAAAAGAAACTGGCAGTATCTGAAAGAATAACATCAAGATCAAAAAGGTGTCTTGTTACCTATATGGTATTTTTCAAATCAACCTAAAAAATCAAGGTAAATTCGACCAAAGGTGCACCAGTCCTGTGTCCTTATTGACAAATCTGTAATTTACTGTGCACATAGCAGATTTATTGATTTAAAAACCCCTCTTATTCGACAAATAAAACACTGCTGCATTCCTATCTTATATTTCTCGAATATTTAACAAAAAATATGCATATTTATAAATTGAAAAATGCATTCATATCCCATTACACTAGCAGCATTAGATCACCTGCACCAGAACACTTTCTAGCCGCAACAATAAAAAAATATATAAAGAAATAAATTAAAGACATATTAAAAAGTAATAATTAGGTAGTAAAACGAACAAATGAAAAATCCAAGTTGTGTGCAAGCATAGAAAACAACCAACAGTATCCCAACTGCTACATTTTCAAGTTAGTTCATGTCGCTCATTCAGAATTATTATTTAACATATTAGGTATGTTTTTATTCAGTCTAAACATTAATTATAATAATAAGATATATCTTCCAGATTCTTTTTAAAAAAAGAGAGACGTCATAACATTCACTAGGAATAATTGAGCAACATTGTAGCATCTGTTATATGTAGATGTGTTGTGAGCTGGTTGTACCAGCATTCTCTTGTTTCTAGTGTTTAAGCACATTGACGCTCTGAAATTTGGAAAATTTTCATAAAAGACAGTTCGGTTTTTTATTTTTTGTTTGAGTCGCTTTAGGATGTATGTATGTATGTATCACTAACATACTTCTATTCCTCTACATCGTACAAACTTATTATGCAAATGTTCTGGTTGTTTAGCTGATGACACTTTATGTGTGGGTGGCAATAAAGTTCATGTATGCCTCTAATCTGCGGAAATCCAAGCCCCTTAAATTCATGAAAAATATGATTAAACTTTCGTATTCCACGATATGCTGTAATTTAGTTTGTTCAACATATAAAGCTGGGACCTATATGTGTCACAATAACTGATTTTTGACATAATTAATGGTTCGTCCAGTTTCAATTTTAATTTGCCTGTGTGGGTGAATCTGCTTTAAAATGCAGTATGAAGCATTACACACTGAATTCATATGTTTTTTTTTTTATTTTAATTCTGTGTGAATCCACAGCCGGGTATTCCAGATTTCAAGGTTAATTTCCAATTTAATCGATGGTCTGTTGCATTTCGAGCCGAAAACCACAACTGAAGATTTAAGTAGATTAATTTTTAAGTTATATGAGGACGAGATGTCTACTATCCTTGTTGTCTTCTTTGATTAATGCCTCTTCCATTCTAAGATCTTTATGTAGAATAAATTTGAGTATCTTTGGCATAGTCATAGAATGTGAAATTATGGATAGATTGAAAAAATCTCATATATACAGAGGGGAAAGTAGAAGACCCAATACTGAACCTTGAGGAGCAGCGCCATTTAAAGCCGTTGGTTCCGACATTCCTGAGACTCACAGGATCTTTGACAAATAACTTGAGTAGCAAAGTTTCAGGATATCTCATATCGAACGCATTTGTGTAATTTACCAGAACCAGACAAGTGCCATAGCTGTTCACATGGCAGACGATCGAAGTGCTCTGGTCAGTATAACGTAGTGTGATCTGGTTGTCACTATGAAAAGGGAGTCCGTATAACCGTGTGTGTCGAGAGTAAATTAAAAAGTCGAAACCTCCCCGGCAAAACGTTAATTTAGGGCGTCATCGGAGCGCGTTACAATCGCTCTGAATTAGAAGTGGCGTGAAAAGTCAATTATGCGGGTGGTAAATGCTGACGGCATATTAAATGTTCCTAATTCGCTTGCCGAACGCTACCTATTGACGAAAAATAACGGATGGGGACAACACCATTTAACACGTCAGCTGCTGCTATGGAAGGTCACGAGGTCGGATCTCAACAGAGGATCGATAAAAATAGGAACACTTTGTGATAAGATAGACAGGTGAATCAAAATATTGTAACAAGAATTAATGGTACTACTAGCGACATCTGCTTCGTCTCCAAAGCGAGGTGCGAGACTGACCCCGAAGGTTCTGGAATGACTGCTATGTGGCGTACAGGAACCTCCTCGAATGAACGAGTATCTGCGATGCAGAAGTTAAGTTAAATTAGTGCAATTCTTTTTGTGGAATAGAGTGCTTCAATTGTAAAGCGATCCAGTGTCATAGTATTTCGAAGAAAGGTCTTGATTCTTTTCAATGTTGAGAAATTTCGCTCAGCCTCTAATGTTGACATAGGAGACAATAATTTCTAATAGCTTTTTTGTTTCTTTTAGTGTTTCCGCCAAACTATTTTGTATCAAAAATTTCAAAACAGACAGAGTTCCATGTAAATCTCGGCAATTATTCCGTGCATAAATAACGTACAACTCTGTCTTTAAACGACTTTTTTCTAATTCGGGATAAGCCAAGCAGGTAGTTTCCAACTTCTCATCAGGAAACTTACCACAGTATTATCCAAAGTGTTCGGGGAAAAAAAGGGATGTGGCTACCAAATGATCTTTGAATTGAAATCTGTCATTTGCAGAATTCACTATATTGTCGCATACATATACTTCTAATGCGGCAACTCGGTGATCGTGACTGCTATTATTACGTCATCTCCTTTTGTTGCCTTGGGGTTAGAGTGCAATTACTTTTGGCTTCATTTATTATGTCATCAATTTTATTTCTCACATCGACAATACATTTTTCAAAATTATCGATAGCCATTTTAACTTGCACTGGCTCGGTTTTTCTCTTCTGCAACTGGTTGAGCAAGATGTCGACGTGAGGCATGACATGAAGAAAAAATGTCAACCAAAACACGAAAACAGAATCGTTTAACATACGTCGAATACCGCAAGCTGCCTTGCAAACGGTTTCATTAGTGAAATTTTCTTCTATTTCTTCCATGCATTCAATGAGTGATTCTCTGTTCTCAAACACTACATTTATTGTTCGAATATTAAAATTTCAACGAGTTGTTGCTCCTTGGGGAATATTTTCCCAAAAATTCTGTTCAGTACCTCTACGAGTTAAGGAGAATTATTAAAAAATCCCGGAATATCTTCCAAATCCCCAAAGAACACCCGAACTTGAGCCTTTGCGGAAGCAGCTTGGGACATAATCAGGTCCAACTGATGCCCATAGTAATGCACATAGTGAGCAAATGGATATCTTTGTTTAATATTTGCCTGTACTGCAGCATTATGTCCGCTCATTACCGCGGCTCCATCATAGCTTTGTGAAATCAGTTTGCTAGGGAAATTTCCTATTAATGGATCTACGATGCTCAAAATATGTCTTGTGAGAGTATCAGCCCCGAAATCTGCTATTGTCATCAAATACGAGGCTCTGTTAATCTGTTTTATTATTTCTTCATGACAAACTTCAAAAATATAATCCAGTAGATCGTTTTGTATTTCTTTCGAAGTTCCTTTAAATATTGAAGCATTTTTTATGTGTTCGCTTAAGGTTGTATCAAGCTCAGCAGAAAAATTATTCATTCCACGAAATATTCCCGGGTTTTGGGAGCGCTCGGTTTCGTTGTGGCTCCTTAGCGCCAATTCAAATGCTCCGCAAAATTTTATACAATCGATTATTTTTGATAGAACGTACCTGGTTTTTGTAACGGTATCATTATGCTGTTGTATATTTCTCCCATATGCTGAATCTAACTGAGCTCTGATGTTAACAGTCCCCAATAAAGCCAATTCCATCGAATTATGAAGATGTGTTTTAGAGTTTTCATGCTTCTTACTTTTTTCACTCAGGTGCACTAAAAGTATGCAAGGAAAGCAGAAAAGGGCATTCTTCCTGTTGCACACACAAATCCAGTCATTTCTGGTGTAAACCTCCCTGCTGAAATGTCGCGTATAGCCCTTGCTCCGACTAACGCCCTGTGTTTCTATAAATATGTCTGGCAGCGGTCGACCTAACACCTTCAGCTCAATTTTTTCTTCAAATGTGTATTTCCAGAATCGTTTCACGCTGATAAATCTGTAAACTACATGCATTGTCTTGCACTACCCTTCTACACAGCCACAGTCAGTCAGTGAGTCACCAGTCACTCAACGTAATACCCAAAGTACCTGAATAAAAAAATGTTCGCATTCAAACTTTAAGCCACGACACGCGACCAGACCAATACGCCAATACTGCCGAGGACCGAGCACCGACCGACCAAGCAGATATCGTACTTTCCATTAGATCTGTACGCATCTGTATAACTTGCAGCACATGCTTATGCTTAAATCGCGCATTTGATTCTGTAGAGAGAGACAAAAGCAAGCGCGTGCGGCTTGTGTCGAAGTAGTGCACAGACCCTTTTCAAGTGGCCCATGAAGAATGTTACGCTGCGGTCGCGACGAAAATGACGAGTACACAATTGGTCGATTATAATGCTTTCTCAGTACAAAACAGACTCGACGCCGTGTCTTGCGGGGGCAGCGTTGCCGGTATTGTTTCTATTTGTATGATAATATGGAAAATAAATACTGATCAAATTACTACTGCTTTTTTCTGTTGATACAAAAGTTTTGGCAGTTCTGCAGCTCTGATTCACACCCAAAAGAACCCAGAACAACGCTACAATATTATCATTTTATTCTTCTTGTAAGAATACCTGATTGCCGATAAATTAAGTTGTGGAAATTATTTTTTCTGGCGGTAACACTTCCAATGTGACTGAATATATATAGCTCAACCGCTAATATTATCTTTGGACAGTAGGAATGAATAGGTTCTGTTTAGTGTGTCCTCCAAACAAATGTTGGTGATCCATTAAATCATGCACATGTTGGTCTGTATACGACTGCTGTTTGCCGAAGGGTAGTATTGCGGTAACTGATCGTGAAACCTATTCTGCCCTAATAGATTGCATTTCAGGCGGGTGTTTATTTTGGGGATAGTTTGTTTAGCGGGCTTTCGTCGAATCGAATTTAATACGTATTATCAGTATTTTGCCGGATCTAGTACGGACAGAAAATGCATAAAAACTCGAACTCCAAGAGAATAAATGTTTCTCACTATTAACCTAAAAAATGTCTTACACTGATGCAACTACAGTCCATTGGCCATTTCTAGAGCTAATATCTATTGTCACAAGGCGACACTCCTATTGTACAGAATAAGTTTCTTCAACTCCTATCCTAGCAGTAAAAAATAAATTTAAAGAAAATCTTAAGCTTGCTATAAAACTCTTACAACGTAGCTAACTTTTCAAATGACAGTATGATACATCTCTTGGCGTACATGCGGGTGTCATTACAACTTTAAAATGTTGTTCTGATTTCATCTAGTCACATTTAAAAACTTCTGGAGGATAGTATGTACATTGTAAAACGTACGATATCAACAGAAAGAAACATATTTTCTTTTTATAGGAGAATAAGACTTGTTGATGGAGTCACAAAGCGGAACTTTATGGAGTATTGCGCGGAAAAAGCATCTCGTCATCTGTTATGAGATGTGTTGCGGTCAAACATTATGTACTATTCAAAACTGTGACATTAAAAGTGTCACCCAGGAAAAATGGTATGTTCAACTTGACCTTTTTGCAATGAGGTAGTGTTAGATCAAGAATGAAACGATGAGATTCTCACGAAATTTTATTGCCAAGTAATAAGAAAAAAAATTAATAATGTGTTCTGTGACCCCGCAGCTGAATACACTCCTGTATACGTCTAGGTATCGATGTCTGGCTGTGGCACCTCATTCTAAGCAACTTCGTAGGTACATTTGCTGTGGCAGAGTCTGTGGCGGATGGTGCAGAGTGGACAGTCTCCTCGCCATCATATCTCACAAATGTTCGATGGGATTTAAATCCGGTGAACGGAGTGGCCATGGTAAGACATTAACGGCTGCTTCATGGAGGAAATTTGTCGTACAATGGGCAATATGAGGACATGCGTTGTCATTCAACAAAGGTAAACAAAAACAAAGATAAAACGTTGACATTGTTGGCGCAGTATCTTTAAATATGGTCACTATGTTGCCAAAAAAGCAAGCTGAAAAATTATTGTTTTGGGTATAACACTTCTAATGTTACACAGATCTTAAAAGATAAATCTATACGCACAGTCAAAGGGGAATAATATGTACATTAAAGTGAAAGTATGGTATGGTATGAATAAAAAATGTATCCAAATATCTTTTCAGAATATGCGTCACCTGGATTTCGTCTTCAAGAATATCAAGCAATCCAGATATGCATTTACAATAAACAAAAGAACACCATGCAAGTGCAACAAAATTTCACTTAAAGCACTAATTACAACTATACACAAAGTCACACTTATATTTGTTTTGTGGTTGCCAGGATTGTGCGTCTGCGAGATCCGAAAATTCATCAATGTTTTGGACGTCCTCTGAAGTTCGACAGTTCCCAAAATGCCGCAAATATTATCCCAGGATTATTTTAGCGATACGGCCGAAGTATAGCGATAAGGCCCAAGTAAAGATGTACTGGTGTATAAAAATTATAGGGTTTGTTAATCACTTATACACGATTATATCCAACACGGGTTAATAAATAAACTTCAAACCAATTCTTATCCCCAACCAACCACCTATTATCGGATAGAACCCTCAAAAAGGCGGCATCATGGACGAGCACTCTGAGGAGCAAAGCTTGCTGATACAGCGGTAGAGGAGATCTATATCGCCGATAGCCCACCAGCGTCAAGGTGTCCCGAGGCTGTCTATTACAGAAGAGTCATCGATCAGCCGGACAGCCCTGCCCTGAACAGCATCGAGCATGGATAATGTAGTCGGGGCGGCAGCACCCCAAACGCGAGAGCAGTACTCCAGACTAGGTCTTATCTGGCCGTTGCACAGTGAAGAGATCATGTCGTGTAAATTACTACTTTTATAATTATGTTTCGACCTACACTGCTCGAAACAATGTAACTAATTTCAAATAATTATTAAATTTGGACGAACATGAGTATGATGGGCTGTGTTTATGATCCTCACAAAAACTTCCTATTCTTAATATATTGCAGCTGATTTTATAACTGCCTTTATTGCCAATATCCGTATAGCGTAAAGCTCATTTTAGGTTTTTATTATTTGCCCAGTCTCACACATTGGCGCATCTCTTTCTAATGGAATGTCTTCCTTCATTAGTCGTTTTACGATAAGAGGCGTCCGGGGTATTCAAGGGAATATTGCAAATGACCCAGTCCACGGTTTCATTCATCATTTTTCATAGAATCACGGGGATAAAAAGAGGGAAGAGCCGTTATTGGAGAAAGGGGAGTTGGAGTATAAACAGAAGGATTTTATAGCATGTCGTAAAACCGCGCCTCATTAGCCATCACGCCGACGAAATAAAAGATTGCAGCATTTTATTTCTCCATCCAACCCCGATCTGCAGATGTTTGGCGATTGTTAGTACGGTTGAACAGGTACGATAACAACACCAACCAAATACGTAACATGCGTTTGAGTCTTAGCTGAGAATAACCCTCCGTTGCTAATCAGAAAACACAAGAAACTGGAAAATGAAGAAAAATTTCCCAATGTGTGGTAAGTACAGTGTGCGATTAAAGATTTCGGAAGGTAACACCTTGTACGCAAACTTATTTTTTGAATCAGATAATCCAAAGCAAACAATTGCCTGGTACACTTCCTGTATCGGCTGTAGCCGCCCTGAACCATTTTCAACAATGCTGCTCGAGCAAAAAACAAAATCGCATTTGCAGGCCCCTAACGATAACGACCAACCTCAACTGGACTATAATCTGGAGTAGTCCGTCGAATATAAGAAGAAAATATTCTAGAGCGAAACGCCT